TAGGTATTATTTATAATATTTTATTTTAATTTGGTATTTACCACACTTCTATACCTACCTATTTTGTAAGTTTCTACAATACAACTATTTTACATAAAAAATTTAAATCAATTTAATTTAATAATTAATTAACACAAAATTCTAAAGATTAGGTAGTTTGTTTATATTAAATGGATTTCAAAAATTTATATTTTCATAGTTTGTCTATACCTAGCCTTTGCTATGAAATAATTTCAAAATAATTTTAAGTGGTTCTCTAACTCTATCAAATTATTGTATACCTATTTAGCGTAGACAGTACAACTTCAATCACTATCATACATCATATACACACCTAGATTAAGTTGTAAGGATAGATTCATGATGCTGGGCTATATATTATAAAATTATATAGTATGTATGATGTACATCATATTGGACTTACCAATATGATTAGACAATATTGTTGTAAAAACAAGTAGGATATGTACTGTAAGAAAAATCAAATTATCATCTATATAATCAGATAGCCCAATACAACAAAATTAATTAAAATAGTAATAATTATTGCTTTCTCTCCTGTGGTGACTTGTACAGTTATTGGAATTTAATTAAATATATTCATAATATTATTTGTTTTAAAATGTTTAATGAGATGCATGGTCAAAGTCTAGTAGGCACCCACAAATGAAAACAACATGTGAGTTGTTGATAATATCACCTGTTTGCCAGAAAAGTAAAGTCGTTGATTTTCTGGTTTGACGTCAAACCACTTTTCGACGAAAATCTTCAAGTCACTGATCCCTGTCGTTCTTGAAGTGGGTATTACAATCGACTTGCCGGTACTCATCATCCTCACTAGCACGTGCATGATGACGGTGATGATATTCTGCTTTACAATGACGTTGTTTCTTCCGTAGTATGTATCTATAGATAGTGTAGACTCTATCTAGTATATTAAATCTATAATAGAGGCGTAAGCATGTTAAATTGTTTCGCTCGCGGTCATACATGCAGTGTTAGAGCCTACTGTGGTAACGACGTCGCCGATGGAGTCGGAGAAATAAAAACGAGCGTGAAACGACGTTATCATGTAGATACGAAGTTATAAAATATTATTAGATATTATTAAAATAATAATATAATACGTCTATTATGAATAATGATGACGATCAGTGATCACCATACGGTTATGACCCATAACTTATAAGTTTACCACGTGACATAAAACGACCAACTATAGCAACAGAAAGCCGGGACGACGGATGTAGGTACTACGTCACGAGGCAGTCTGGCAGTGACGCAGTGTGAAATGTGCATGGGCAGTGCGTAATTCTAATAACTGTAACTGTATACCTATTACAGTATTATCTAAACGGGTATAACGATGAATTCACGAGTCATAACTGTTGAATAATAGATTTACAGGGATAAGAACTACAATTATTTAATTTTTAAATTAATTTTAATGTTTGGGTAAAAAAGTAAAAAAATATATTTTTTTATTTAATTATTTCCAAAAAAATTAAAGATAGCCATTTTGTAGAGTTCATTTTTCTAAAAATATTGGCGTTTCAAAATTTTATTTTCATTAATTTCCTGATTTTAAATATTTTTTCTAGTTTTGAAGAAATAAAATATGACTATAAATTTATAACTATTAGGTAGTAGGTAGTAGGTACACCGTACACGGAAAGTATTCGGCCGGCCGAATAAAAAAGTAATAAATAAAAAAAAGCATGGCGCGGCGGATCATATGTTTGATAAAATGATAACATTACGTTAAAATTCGCGAACGTGGCCGAGGCCCTGACCTTTTTTTTTTTAGTTTTTAATTAGTGGAACTAAAAATATGCTGACACGACACTGTCAGGGCCTGCGATATGGGACAGAAGAATGGGCCAGAGTCCCATGGCATGGATCTCTGGGGGCCTCCCAGTCCGGTTAGGTGTAAAATAAGTATATATAAGTAAAAGGGCCCGGAATTGATCAGCCCTGAGGCCCACCAAAGTTCTCGCGGGCCCCAGTGAGGGAGCCCCCGTAMAAGCGACTGAGCGTACTATAGGTTTGATCAATATATTATTATATGACATTACTGCTAGGTATATCGAAATGAAGAAGTAAAGTAAGAACTACACTATGATATATATATATACATACACTAGGTACGTGTTGACGGTTGATCGTGTTGTATATTGTATAATGTGTATATTATTATTATTATGTGCATTTTAATTTGTATGTTTACCACAATACACGGTTATCTACCGTTAGATAACCGACAACCGTGATATTATACTAATATTATTTTGTTTGTGTAACATATGATTACGTATGTATTTCTATTTTTAGTACAAAATACCAATCACCATTCACCGATTTATCTGTTATTTGTTTTCATTAGAGTTATATTTTATGCCTGTACAGTCTATTTCTTATCGTTAACAATCCGCGTACAAAAACATAAAAATACAGTATGGAACTTTTATCTTTTAAATAATAATTTGGTTWWWAGTGTTTATACTTTAGTGAGTGAAATATCAAATTATTTTTCTTTTTATTCATTTTAATATTTAAAAAGATATACAAAGTAATTTAGTGTTTAAAACAAGACAAAGTAGTAATAATTAGGAGTTAAGTGATTAGTATTATTTACAATTTACAGTTTGTTTATAAGATTCGTTTGTTTGAGAAATTGTATGATCTTGTGTATATTRTTGGGGTCCGGGTTGAGTGCTTCRGCRAGGTGGTTGGATATTTGATATAGCCTTCTTTCTTTGTCGTATATTCTGCATTCGGTTAAGATGTGTTTCGGCATTGTTGTTTCCTATATTGAAGTATTGCAATTAGCAAGTTTCTTATTAAAAAAAWTACACTATCGGTTTGAATTATCTTTAAAACATCTAAAAATGTATAAATATTTGGAAAGGAACTATTAAAAATAGGACGATTAGTCGTTGTTTTATATTACGCCTCGGAGCACTAAAGTTATTCRTATCAATTATACATAGTATTATATTATTACATATATCCGATCTTATTATTATTTGACTTYAGCTTCTGAGTATCTGGTGTACTTCAACTGTTGAAGTTCTTTATTCTACATGGTCTTTCAGAAGGATAGCATTTAGTTTGTTACTCTAAGAATAAGGCTGTTCGTTTTCTTGCTCTCATATATGTAATCAAATTTTGAACTTCTCCAAAGAAATTTCTAACACTTGAACATTTATCACATGTATCGACAACAACCAAGTTTAGAACATGTGCAAAACACCAAACGTAAATAGCATTTGGATTTTTTTCTTGGACATATGATCGAACACCAGAATATTGTCCCTGCATTGATGCAGCTCCATCATAAGATTGAGCACATCGTTTTGTTTCCCAATCTATATTATATTTAATGCAAATATCACAAAAAACATTGAACATTCCTAATCCTGTGGAATCATGAGCTACTTTCATAGCAGTAAGCCTCTCTTCAGTTTGACCTTACCTTCTTCATTAATAAAACGCAGGACTAGTGAAAATTGCTCTAAGTTAGAGACATCTGTAGTTGTGTCTATAATTATTGAAAATACACCAGCTTGCCTCACCCTCTTCAAAATCTCTTCTCGTACCATTTCACCCATGACACTTAACATATTATTTTGACTAACATTTGACAAAAAAGTTAATTGGTTTTTTTTTTTGCACTCTGAATCTTGGATAAATGAGCAGACAGCAAAGGATTATATTTAGCTAAAAGTTCGACAAGTTCTAGAAAGTTACCTGGATTAGATGAACTCCAGTGTTCATCATGACCTCGGAATGCATTAGTTTGGCGAGCTAGGTACAATAAAGCTTCACAAATGATTTTAACAATTTCTCTATTTTCTGCCACCTGCGTATTTGATGCGGATAATAGCTGCACATCAACTCTTAATTGACTTTTAAACATAACTCRGCGTATTTCAGACTGTAAGTGCTCAGGTGCAGCTTCATGTGCTTTGATTTTAAATTAAATATGCCTCCAGTCATTTGTTCCAAGTTTTGAAAATTGATCATATTTTCCCTTTGGTAGTCCAAATAATTTACAAACTATACAAAATATGCGGTCAGTAGAAGGTGAATATGAGAACCAGCTACGTTTCACAAAATGTCCAGGTAAAATTTCTTTAAAATAATATTTTTCATGAAATGATCTTAAACGATCACCTTGCTGTCTTGTAGGAAATGTACAACCACTTAATTGTGATTTGGRCGGTTGGCAAGGTTCCAGAGATGCAAAATGAACAAAAAGTTCATTATTGATACGTTGGAGTTCATCATAGCAGATCATTGTTAAAGTCAATGTTATTCATCAAATCGTTAACTAAAACATTAAAAAAAAAATGAATACATGAATATTTTATAATAATAAATGAAGTCTGATGAAGAATTTAACTTTAGTAGTAGGTATGTTAATATTACAAAAAATGTATTAGGCAAAATGCTAACTAAAACTTAAAGAAACATGATTACTCACCAGCTGGTAGAGGACATTGCTCATCTGCCTCATCTGACGTACCARGTATTTCCAAATCATCAATTACTTTATTTTCATAAATCACATTTTCTTTAAAATATGAATAATAAGGATTAATTAACTTAAATAATTGAAAAAAAAACGTTCGTTACATTTAAAATAGCCCGAAATAGAACTAGAAGCAATAATTTTTCTTTTCACAGGCATTTTCTTTTTTTTACAAGATTCTTTATGGCGAGTCCAGTTAGTGCTGTTCAGAGAATCACGTGTTCTATCACAATTGGGACACTGAGAATTAATTTTAAAAATTTAAATATTGTCGACAACTAATGACAAACTGACAACTTTAAACGTAAATAAATATCAATTACAATTTAAAAATGAATAATAATAGTAATAATAGGTTCTAGCCTCTAGATCACTGCTCGCTGGTTGTTGCAATAACAATAATATAATTATATAATAATTGTGCATTTGAGCGGGCTACCAACACAAGTCGTTTCTGGGAAATGAGAATGTGTGCGTGTCTGCGTCTGATAACGATTTGTTATCAGCTCGAATGAAAATATTCATGATGACGCAATCGCGTACAATTTATCTGACACTTTTTTCAATATGATTGAAAATAACTTTCAAAATAAAGTAAAACCGT